GCTAGAACACCATGGGAAATATGGAAGTACTGGACGGCCTGTTGTCTGATTTTTCAGCAGTGTGCATCCATGACTCCATCATCTGAGATTCAAACCCAGGACCTATCAGTCTCGCGCGCGAACGCTTAACCTTTAGATCAATGGGTCCGCATCCAACGGTGTTAGTGTCTATATACAACCAATCCATGAAATTGCGCCACCGTTAATCATTGTCTTCAGTGAGTTACAATCTCATTTACAAGTTGATTGAAATTTATTTTACATACTATACAAATCGAAATCTATTAAAGTTGATTGAAGCATTTAATTTACATCTCAATATTTTATATCCTGTGTCTATTATGTAATATACGTGTTAATCATTACTTGTTCATTAATTTGAACTCACAGTGTTTTATTCTTTTGTCTTCTCATTTAGAACGTGCTGAATAATTTTTATGCATCTATTTCAGTAGATATGTCTCTATGTGAATTTTAAAGGTAAATTGGAAAGAAATTATTTACATTAAGAAAAAAACAACATACTTTACATAACATACTATGAATCTCCACAACCCTCTACTGACACTATTGATTCATTCATTTGTATTTATTATTTGAATTTTCCTATTAATGTTTAAGATTGTGATAGACTGGTATGTTTTTGGGAAATGTATATCTCATGAGGATTACTTCCATATTGATTTTGAATGACAATCATTTTATAAAAAACAGTTGTATAATGACTTGTTGAGAAATCTAAAATACTCCTTGTTTTTTCTCTATTTTGGACTCATCAGCTTGATGTGTTTATATTCCAGAGTTGATGTTCTCTACGGGTTTAGAATTTAACCCTTTATATCAACAAGAAGTCAGTCAGTCAGTAACAACGTAGAACTTCGTATGTACGTACGTACATCAGTTCTAGTTGCCATATCATATTAGCATAGAGATGCAGTTGTCAATTCAAATCCCTTAGTGGTAGAGTTAGCAAAAGTATAAGCAGTAGTCAGACAGATTAGGGTTTGAAGATGTTATTCAAAGAGTATACTCCAGTGAAGTAAATCTGGCAAGAGAAATAAATGAAAGGGACATGAATAATTCAGAAGATTAGAATTTGAGAGAACATAAAGAGAAGATTCACTAAGTTAAGATTCACTACACTACACAAGCCAGTAGGTAATACGATGGCATTTGAAGATAATAGTTTCATATCCTTTAAAGAACGTCAACTCCTGGATATATGTACATCGACCTAGTATAAGTCATAAGTCACAGGATGAAACATCCGTCCTCGGTTTCACTGCTAATCATCATTCTACTACTCTTGTAATACTTTTGATTAATTTATAAATCTTTTGAAAACTTTAGTCTCATTTATATTCATAAAGATATAACAATGAATTTCAAATTGTAGTATTTTATATAAAGTTTAAAAAAAACAAATCAATGAACATTTTCTCCCTTAATATAGACTGTATCTAAAGGTATAAAGTATCCATCTTTCTATTTGTTCTAAGCTAATATAATAGCATAAAAACATCTTGAAAGCTAGATTATCACTTATCTAAATAGTTTTACAATTAGCATATTCAGAAAAAAAAGAAAAAAAACGAGAAAAAAAGAAGTAAATTAGGAGAAGAATCAGAAAGGGTTTTGTGGAGATTGTAGTAACTTAAACGGTTGAGATCATGAGTCAACTGAAGCTAGACAACCATGGGAAACCTAAAAGCACTGGATGACTGTTTCGTCCTATCGTGGGACTCCTCAGCAGTGAGCATTCACGACCCCGCCTCGCGGGGTTCGAACCCAGAACCTATCAGTCTCACGCTAAGTAATAAATCCACGAAATTAAGCGACACATCCACCATCGTCTTCAATAAAATATTCTTAAGTAATATACGATGGTATGTATTCTATACACTGAATTGAAAATGTGTTATTTTTCTTCCAAACTAAAATGTACAATTCTGTGTACCTTTACATCGAAAAATTGTCAATTCATTGACTATTAATTTATGGGAAACTCCATAATTATTTTGTAACCCGTTGTCAACAAATAAAAATCTTAAATTAATGTTATATAGAAAGTATTGAACAAAAAGGAGAGATATATCAGGTATTATTACAATAAGTTTAAGATTGTGACGAATGCACTTTTACATTTGAATTTCAGTGGAAATAATCATCGGTAATCAATAAGTTATGCATTATGTTATCGTAAAATTTAATGTATGGCAAATGGCATTATGATTATATGGAGTTTCGTTAGATGTAATATATTTTCGGGTAAATGAATTCGTCGTTTTATATTTCTTTAGTCATAATCATAAGTTTGAGAAAAATGTCTCTAAATATAGATATATATCAGTGGAATCCAGGACATATATTTTGATTTATTTTTGGAATCATCAATTGGATGCACAAATTCCCAAAAAGTGTCTGATCAATTGTAGTCTTAAATGTCATTGAGAAGATTCAAATAAGCAGTATAAAACTGAAGTTTTTAAGTATAGTTTAGTATACAATAGTTGAGTATTTGATGAATACATTTTATTGAGTATTCAAATGCATGTTTACTATCGATCTATTTATTCGCTCTTAGTAAATGAAGATAAATGTGATGGAAATAAGTTAAACATGAGTATATTTCATATTACTGAGGCTTTGTTTTTGTCTAAACAGAAAATTTTTGCGGCTTTTCAACGACATTAGATGCTTAAATTTGATGAATATCTTGAATTTATCATGTCAAAACATACAACTTATAGATATTTGTATTAGATGATGTAAATTTACGTCTTTAGCTTTTTTTAGCGGGTTAGTTTTCTACGGAATAGGGTTGCTAATCCTATGTCCAACCCTCCTCCTTTACCTAGGCGGGCGGCCTATGCTCCTCCACCTGGAGTAACAGGCGTAAGGAAGTAAATAATTAAGTAAATATGTGAATCTATTCGTATTTTTCTCAACAATTAATGATATTTATGAATTAGGTAGACTGAGAAATATGTTAACTTTCCATTATTCACAAAAATGTATTTCGAAAAAAGAATACTTGTATGCTAAATTCTATTGCTTTGATAGCTTAACTAGGTTTCTTGTTTTAGTATTTTTCATGATTCTATCCCGGAATTTTACCAAAATAAGAACTTTCTGATACAATTTATTAGGGTTAGGTATCACTGACGTCAATATTGACGATATTTATACAAAAAATTTATTTTTATATGACAATAATTTGAATCGTAAAACAACTGTTACATATCGGTATATGAAATGTACATTTATTCTAGTAGATGGTATCTTGTACTATTGATACAATGTGAAGTTAATCTATTTCTTTGACATATTAGCTTTGTTTTCTGTAATTTGATTTAATCTAGTCCACGTCATAAACATTATGTATACTAATTTATGTTAATAAGTGTGTTTACTCAGCTTAGCAAATCTCGTAAATGGGCACATATACTACAGTGATTCACTGGTTTAATGTTATTGCAATTGATGTGAAATTAATTATTCTATATTAATTTAATAACTGGTTAATATTTGTTTCAGCATGTATCTCTTACTGTAACAAGAAAAAACATATGATGTAATAGATAGCACCAATCTGTACTATTATATTTATTATTGTTAGTTATAACCATAGTCAAAACCCTTCAATAATGAAAGTGCTGATGATTACTAAACACTTTAGTATTTTCAGTAGTTGAGATCATGAGTCAATTGAAGCTAGAACATCATGGAAAATCTGGAAGCGTTGGACGGCTAACTCGTCCTATTGTGATACTCCTCATCAGTACGCATCCACAACAATTCGTACCCAGGACATATCAGTCTCGAGTGCGATAGTTTAACCACCAGACTACAGAGCCAGTCGGCATCCAATGGTGTTAGTGTCTAAATTCAACTAATCCACGAAATTGAGCGACACGTCCACCATTGTCTTTAGTGAGTTACTATCCCACAATTGTACGAAACGGCCGTGCAGTATTTCCAGGTTTTCTATGGTGCTCGAGTTTCAATCGACTCATGATCTCAACTATAGAGAAATGTCTCAATATCGAAAATAAGATAATATATACAAATCTGAAAGTAAGAACAATACAACTATTCCCTGTGAAAAAAAGAAGGAATTTCGCAGTCTAAAATTAAATAATACAAGACTTGTTTAAAATACCATTACTAATTGTTAAGCCTTATCATCTATTCATTTTAACCTACTATATGAATTGTTTCGTAGAGTTTATTCAAAAAAAAAGAGAACATGTTTATCAGAAATGTAGTCGTTGCCTCGATGATCTGCTGTCACATATTGATTAGGATAATATTTAAAAAATGTCCTGTACTTATTCTTTTCTCGTTGTCTATAGTACTGAATGAATAACACATTGAAGTTGATCTAACTTTATTATGATTGATTAGTGAACTTATTAATTCGATTATCGTTTATTAAAAATATTATTTTTGTATTGACGTTAACAATAAGATGATTCCATTATGTATTTTTCCTTCAAATGATGTATGCAGATAACAATGATAATAATTTCGTCATATTCTAAACTTGTCACATTTATGTTCATCGTGCTACTATTGTAACACTTGAAGCATCATTCCGCGATTAGTCTCTTTGTAATATTTAGTTAATCTAATGATGATATGTGGTGAAATGTGCTGATAATTTTGTCCGGTTTAAAGAACATATTTGTCAGTAAATAAAGGGTACATGAAAGAATGCCAGGTACGTAAACTACGATATTTTATGTGCAGTTTAGCAATGACTCATTGTAATGTGTGTGTGTGTGTGTGTAAACATCAGCATGTTTCACAACCAAACTATGTAAAATCAACAAGTCATGTACCACATAAACGATGAATAATAACATAACGATTTAGAATAATTCGTGGTTGAAAATGTCTCTCTGTCAAATATCATTTAACTTTATCAAAACTATTGCCTCTTTTCAAATTCATCTCAATCAATGTTTTCTGAATAAAATAAGTAAAGAGATTTTAATAAAAGGAATATAATTTTCATTAAAAAAATAAAGACTTCAACAAAAGCTTAGTTACATTAATGACAGGCATTGTTATCCTGAATATTTATTATCTGTAAGAAGAGTTTGACATTTTATTGTTGTATTTTTCAATCGATATTTCCGACAGTCACCTATTAACAAAAGATATTATGATTAACTTTGAAAATTGGAGTCAAGTGATAACAAAGAATACAGAAATAAAGGAAAGGTAACGATTCATTTGTATGAAAATGTATGTTGTTTAGACTATGTGAAAAACTGTCAGAATTCGAACTATTCAATTATGTAACTGATAGAACTTTTTGACACTCTCACGTACAATGAGAGTAAAACTTATAAGTGTTGTCAATATAAGAACGATTAAGAATGAAGTCCGTATATTTAAACCAATGGTTTGGCGTAACATAATTTTTGTATATAAAGTTACTTAACATTTTTTGTGAGAGATCTTCTTTCATGTTATTCTTTTAAGAGCCCCCAAATGCCCTGGTATGGCCGAGAGTGGGGTGAGCCCGCCCCCTTTCTTGAAATGCTCTCACACGGCCACGAGTATACAGCCTCTGCCAGGAAAGTCTTACTCACAGGCTCGGGGTGTGGCCCCTAAGAAAACCATTTGCTCCGGTCTGGGCACTCGGGCAGTATCCCAGCCCTCACACAAATTGAATATTTATGTGGCGCTTATCTATTTGGTGCAACCTGGTACCAATTTTTATTTGTTTAAATAAATGAATCAATTCCTTTAAGAGCGCTTGTAGAAACAATTTCAATACGCAAGTAGTTTATCACATTATGAACATGTCTAAGAGCAGTTTTTTTAAGAAGCAAAATATCTACCTGGCAATTAGTTTAAATCACTGTCCTGTTTTTAATACAAAATTAATACTAGTGAATTTACAAAAGAGGCTTTTACATCACTCGTGTATCTAAATATGATAAGATCTCATTACCAGTATTACTGCATTAATAAATAGGTGTACCTATTATAGATTACTAGATTAATCTTCGTTGATAACTATACTCTTCTACAAGTAACAGAATGTATTATACAATCTCTCACATTAATGCAACCTTAAATAGGACAATGACTTCTAATAATTATTGAAAAGAAGAGTGATGTGACAGATCAAACTCACCAGTCTGATGCATCAATCATTGTGGAGATGTTGTATTTATCACTCTTAAAAGTTAATGATATTGAAATTGTGCCATCATAATCGCTTATGTCACATACAAACTTATAATTCTTAATGAGGAACGAAACAAATATTTTATTTTCGTAACCTGTACGAACGTATTTATATGAAATAATCAATGTGAAAATAAGTGCTCATGAAAACCGGGTAGAATATGCAAGAGCTTAAATTTCTTAGCTGATGATTTTATGTATCTTAATGCACATGTACCCCTAGAAAATTGTCTCGACAGTGCCTATTGTGACTAAATCGAAGATTCCCAATTCGACGTTTACATATACTAATAAATATACGCAATAAAATTTTTAATGTGAATAACACGATTCCGTGAATTATTGAGTAATGCGTTAGGGTTTTTAAGCAACGAGTACTTAGTTAGAGTCTCAATGTGAATAACAACATTTGGATGCAAGTACTCAGTTGACGAGTCTGAAGTATGATGATACGCGCGCCGTGAATACAGCTGTTAGATATATATTTAATACATTAATCGGTGAAATAAGTAACTAAATAATAAATACATCATCAGATAGACTAGAAACCATAGAAAACACGTAATCCGTATTCGATATCATTTGTAAGATGAAATCTAATCAATCAAAAAGTTCACTCACACATCCTTGTAATTTGGAATCGTTAGATATACACAATTAAGCCGAATTCGATACATCACTTTGTAAGTTCTAACTCTCATTCTTTAATCACAATGACTCTATAATACGCAAAGGTCATATCCAGATTAATTGAAGGGCATATACTAAGGTTTATTGAAGCCTTAGCCATACAAAAATTTAACACCCATTTGTATATTCAAAAACAGTTTATTCTCACCTTAAACCTACCTTGATAATATTAATCTGTTAGCCAGAGTGATGAGTTTTCACATAGTTTTTCATATTATTTACCTTATTGTCTTTGTCTTCTCTTACCCTCCATTTCTAGTCTAGTTGACTTTTGATTGTTATATATAACTGCTCTTAACAAGTATAAGTCTGATCAGATTGTTCCAAATATATTGTGTTAATATATCACATGGTTCTAATAATCTTCATCTTCTTATTAAACTATCCAAATGTATCAAAAAGGGGCTAATTGCTTTAAATTGAAAAATAACCAGAATTCCTGAATACCATACCTTTATTTGATATGAAAACAATGAGAATAACTCTAGTACCATGTCACATTATCTTAATATAAATTTTATATATATACAAATATATTCCAGCAGCATTGTCTCTAATCATTCATTCAGGTACTTGTTTTCTCAAGTCATCCATTGATCAATAATGATCCTCATTTATATTGAACTTCATTTGATCTATTTGAAACATATCAACAAAATCTCTCATGTTCTAGTTGAATCCTTAACCTTTAATCCATAATAATAATAATTTCTAAAGACTTTTAACTAATTTGGTGGTTCAACTACGAACAACATTCTATAATTTCTACTCATTATACACATTCATATACGAACTTACATAACCAGTTCATTACATTAATTATCTCATCTATCTATATATATGTAACTTAGTGAAACATTAAAATAAAATGTAACCGATGAAAAGAGAATTTGATTTCCCAAGAGATTTATTGTATTTGATTTATTATATTGAATTATATTGTTTAATAAATATAAACTTTCTATTTACATGATTTATTATCTTTAACTATGTGTACATTTGGTTTGTTAACACAAATATTCAGTTAAAACCATCATACATTATGAACACTAAGTATCCATTAAAATATATAGCTCGACTATTCATTTAGAGATAATGAAACATATTTACAACAGTATATAGAATATAAAATGAAGTAGTGGTTTAGCAACAACAACAACAACATCACCACCACCGCCAACAACAAACGAACAAACAACATTGTAACTTATCCATTCATACATGTCACTAACTAATTAACTAACTAACTATTAGTGATTAGAATATTACTAGTTTTTTCAATAAATAAATCAACTATATATATTACATAAGTAGTAAACAAAACATAAATTGGTATCTGAATGAAATGGAAATTTCATTTTCTCTGGGGTATTTACTTTAAGCTATGTAAATTGCTTTAATTCTTTTTTTACAAAAGTTTAGCATATTTATTAATAAACTGATCAGTTCTCAATTCATTTGATGTCGGTTACTTGAATCTTTTCGTAATTGGTCAGTCTGTTATTGGCATATGTTCATCCTGTGCGGAATGCCTCCATATAGTCTTAATTCACAAGCATTATAAACAAAGATAGAAAGTGGCTAACAGTGGACTCGTCTGTTAGATGTACCTGAATCCAGCTAGTGAACTCCGAAGCTAAGTGGATAACGCGATATAGTTTGAAGCGAATGGTATTGTGTTTGAGTCCCAGTGTGAACATCAACTGTGAGATACGGGTACATCCATCTGACGAGTCTCAAATAGGACAAAACGCGCATCCTGAATTCCATTGTTAGCCATTTCCCATCTTTGCTTATAAATCAGCTATGAGTTTGTTAATCCACATGTCAGTGCGGCTAAATTAATATTCAGAAGCGTTAAATGAAATGTGAATTTAAATAACTTTTGATTTAGGACTTCGAAAAAAGAATCTTGAGAATTTTACCCGAAATAAAGAAACTGCGAAAATCCAATTGAAATTATAATTCAGTGGAAATTTTCCTATGCAATACAGATTTTGACATTGTGGAAAGATTATGCGGTCTTCACTTAGTGGACTGTAGGTTCGAATTCTGCCTAATATATGATAATTTGTGCAGATAAATTGTATTATTAACCTAAACATTATATATGTTGTTCAAAGCGGAGGAAATAAACATGTGCTTAGTATATAAATTTATGAAAAGAAGTTCAGTAATTTAGAAATTGAAATTACGGAGTAAAATTTAACAAACTGGTGACTTCCCAATGAGTAGAAAAATTAGATTTTCTAACGTTTCGTAACCTAGCGTAAGCCGCTTCTTCAGAGAATAAATAACCAAATCAAGATTAATCCAAGTTTGGGATATTATAAATATATATATTGCTTATTTATAAAAATCTACCCAATGCTCAATTTATTTGAAATTATCAAGTCAAACCTTGGTAATGATACGTACAAACTGGTGATTGTTTTTAGTTACTGAAAAGCACTTAAATTAGTTATATATAAACTAAGTATCAATGAGAATAATTATGTGCTGCAATTATATTTTTCCATAGTACTTAAATGTAGTAAAAGGCTTTGTATACTGTATTTTGTATAATACGACAATGTCATTATGATTATTTTGGACAACTAGACTCAATACTAGACTCATGTGACACAGTTTTCGAAGTCTTTCTTGATGAGGTCATCGAGAAGATAGGTTGCTTTCTGGGTAATAAAGTTCAATATAGATTTTCTAAATATTTACTTAAGTGAATCATATTTGGCAGTTCCAGATAACAAATTTTGTTTTTACTTCTGAAGTTTAAACAAAATTTGGCAGACATTATATTACAGCAATCATAATTAGTCACAAAACTATGATGGCTAACAATCTTGCATTCATATTAAATTGAAAATATTCGGGTCACATTTGTTTTAGGATTATGCAATTGTTGATAACCTATTGAAAGATGTACAATTTCAGTTTGTTTCTATGCCATTTTTATTAATGACATTTAAACTAACTATTTATTTTTTAGAATATCCTTATGAGTTGAAAATGCAAATGTGGTTAGGTTGTTTATTTAGTTTTTCCAATGATTAAGATCATGAATCAATTGAAGATAGACCACCATAGAAAACATGGAAGCACTAGACGGCCGTTTCCTCCTATTATGGGACTCCTCAGCAGTGCGCATCCACTAGACTGGAAATCAATTTTCTTATTGTTACTTAACATTGCAAAGATGATCTAAGTAGTTATAACACACAAAAAGTGATCAAACTTTATTTCAAGTCATTTCTCTTTCATGAATTTGTATCACCGGAAAAAAGTTGAATCCTCAAGAATATATTTTATTATCAGATAAATATGAAGTTATAATATCAAACGACAACAAATTCCATTGAATTCGATGTGATATAAAGACGTTCTTTAGTTTTTTGCTAAGATTTATGTTGATAACATAAGATATGATATTTTTGGTCTTTTCGCAGTTTGATATTCCTTTACTTTAAAGAAACAATAAATTGATCTGTACAAGCAACTGATTTTTCTCTCTGAATAAACAATACATTTTATTCTTCTTTAATTTCCTTGAATAGTTTTGTTTATAAAGCTTCATTTAGACATCTCTATTCACTATTTAAAACAGATTCTATTCTGTTCACTGAAAATATCTATTCCAAATTATCTGTATCTATATTCATAATGAGAATCATTGAGTAGTAGTCACTGAGTAACGATCAATAACATCTTTACTTAATCCGAGTGTTAATCATATTCGGTTGATCAATTTACAGGTTGATCACTTGTTCAACGAGTTTTCATCAGCTAGAAACTAATATGTTGTGTTTCTAGTCAATTGTTGCCAACCAAATAGTACACACAATGTCTAGACACTTGTACTATTGATCATATTGGAATTTGATTTTATCAGCACTCGACAAACCATTAAATAATCAATCAGTTTTACAAATAATGAGTTTTTGACTAAATCCAACTATGAAAATCTACTTCAACTCACTGGTTATCTTTTTAAGAAATGAACGTCAAGAAGGCAAGCTAACAGTTAACTTTCTACGGCAGCCTGCTTGAATATCTGGGCTACCTGTTCCTCCGATCTACATATTTCATCAAGTTATCTGTTTTGTTGTTTGTTTTAGTACATCATTATGTTTATTGTGCACACAATCTATTCAGGCGCGTTTATGAAAAGTTTACAACCTTTCGCTATATGGGATACAAAAAGGTACAATCGGCGACATCATGGTGGCCGGCAATATGCATTTAAACTAATGAATATTAATCAAATGTGGATTACCGAACTCTTAACATCTAACTGGTCATCATTCAAAATTTATCATCACAATCGATCAAGATATAAGAAAAGGAAACTTGTTGAAATACTTTATGCTGAGAATTCTATGTTGTACCAAAAATATAATGTTGAATAAAGCTTCTAATAATAGTAATAAAATAATTACCGAACAATCAATATTTCATATCAGAAAGGATTTTGTGGATATTATAGTAATCTCAATAGTTGAGATCATGAGTCCATTGAAACTAGACAACCATGGAAAACCTGAAAACACTGAACAGCTGTTCCGTCCTATGGTGGAACTCCTCAGTAGTGCGCATTCACGATCCTACCTCTTGAACCCTTCGACCTATCAGTCTTTTAGGAAAGCGCTTAACCACTAGACCACTGGGCCAGTCGGCATCCAACAGTATTAATGTCTAATCTAATCTCTGTGTTCGCTAGCTTTCTTAGTGTAAAGCTTTATTTCTTCATATATTGTACTAAGATCATCTGAAAACTAAGATTTAATCAATCTTTCTAATCAGAAAAAACAAACAAACAAACATGATCATAAATAAATAATATTACACAATAGTGAGATTTAGATGGTGGTTGGAGGTAGTCAACAGGAAACCCTGGACCCGGGTTTCGTGCTATTTGGCACTCGTCAGCAAGGTGTACCTGTAATCTTGAGGGAAATGGTGCTCCCTGGCAGATTCGATCTCGTGTCACCCAGCTTCACAGTCACATTGCAACACGATCGATAGCATTCGATCTGCACTAATAAGGACTAGACAAGCATGACATTGATCACCATCCAGTGATCAATCAATTATGATTACACAATAGTATTATATTACTTACTTGTGTAAATGCATATCCTTTTGGTTCTTTATAAGATAAAAATATTTTAGTTTTATTTAAATTTGTTGAATTTGGAAATAGAAAATATGGTGAATTATCATTTTGATCTAAAATTTCTATACATATTTGTATAGTTTCAAATAATTTCGGTATTCCATTATCTTGTGCATGTACAATCAATATTATCATTGGTGTTAATATAGAATAATTTGTATGATTATTTAATGATAATAATCTATTATAATTATAATTCACATATTGAAATGTTTCATAAGTAGTTAAAGTTTTAGATATATAATTAGTATGTTTTATAATAAGATTTTCACGATCTATTATAGATTCTATATATAATTTAACTTCATATAATGATGTTTCATTTGTTGTCATGGTATTATAATAATTTCTATGTAATGGATATGAATTTAATTGAAATTTTAATAAAGATTCAATATATTTTGTTTGTTTTAAATAAGATGAATGTAAAACACTTTTTGAATTAAATTTTAATTGTTCAATATTATTTGGAATATTTAAATGTTTATTTAATATTGTTAAATATATATTAGATTGTTCAATATTCTTTTCAATATAAATATCTAATTCAGCATTTTTACCTAAATCTTTATCGGTTACATAAAATGTACCAATTAATTGTCCAATTACATTATTTTCATTAATATTAAATTGTAAATAAGATTGAGAATAAATAGGTGGATTATCATTATAATCTAAAACATTAACATGAATTAAAATCTTTATAGTTCTTATTGGTTCACCATAATCTGAACAGATAATAGTTATAGTGAATTTATTTAATTTTTCACGATCTAAATTTCCTAAAGTACTTACAGTACCTGAATTTGAATCAATTGTGATAATATTTAGAAGAAAGGTAGGAGTTTCATGATCAAGACTAAAACGTAATTTACCATTTTGACCTTCATCTTTATCAGTAGCATGAATAGTTATAATTTCAAAATTTGATTTACTTCTTTCTGGATCAGAATCTTCAATAATATCAATATTGTAAATATTCTGTTCACAAATTGGATCATGATCATTAATATCAATAATTTTTATACGTTGTGTAATGGTGGTAGTTAGCGAAGGAATTCCACCATCATGACACAAAATAGTGAACTCGATGACATCATTTTCTTCTCTGTCTATTCGCTTTTCCATTGTTATTTTATATTTATGATTGGAGCTTGTCAAACCTAGGTGACTACCTTCAATGTTGATAGGAACTAAACGTAGAACACCTGATATAGTTTGATTAATTATTTTACAATTAACAAGAGCATTAGTTCCTGTATCTCCATCTGAAACTTCCACAATTCCTATATCTTGCCCAGGTGGTGATTCTTCGATTATTTCCAAATCTTTTGAACCAGTAGGAGATAGGACTCGAACACGAGGAAAATGATCATTTACATCTATCACATTTACAATGATCTGTGTTACTGATAATTCTGAAATAATCTGAGAAGATTTTAAATGTCCTAATGTAGTATTATCAGGATTTTTGGCAAATACTTTCAAAATATGTTGTGGCTTTTGTCGATAATCTAAACGATTTCGTATTCTAATTTCACCGGTATCCGAATCAATATAGAAAAATTTCTCCTCATCCATATCATCTGTGTATGAATTGAAACTATAAATAATTCTACCATTTTCATATTCATCTTCATCAATGGCTTTCAATTTTAAAATTATTTGATCTATTGGTGTATCTTCACTTACATTTACAATATACATAGATTGTTCAAATATTGGCATATGATCATTACAATCTTCTACAAGTATAGTTACATTCAAATAACATTGATGATCATTTGATTGGATACCATCATCGGCTATAATTTGAAATGTATAACTTTGTTGTTTTTCATAATCTAACTTTTGAATTAATTCTAATTCTAAATATATATTAGATATTGTAATATTATTCAATAATGAAAGACTATGTAATTTAAAATAATTTAATATATTTTGATTATTATTTATTATATTTGAATTATTATTAATCCAAATACGATCTGATTTCACAGAATTCCCATTGATCATATCATCTGGATCATATGGTATATTCAATGTAAAACGTGTATCATTAATAAATGAATCTTCACGAATTTTAATTAATTGTTGATTAGATGGAATAAATTGACAACCATTATCATTAATATCATTCAATTCAATAATGATATCAAATATAGTTACTAATTTATTACTTACAGGCGGTTTATATTTTATATGATTTGATATATTTAATAATGGTGTTGTATTTAAACAATTCACACTAAAATATAATTCACATTTAGTTAATATAGGATAATTGATTATTGATTGTTTCATTGATTGTTCATAGAATTTTTGTTCTTTATTAAATTGATTATTAATAAGACATAATTTTTCTCTATCTAATCTATATAGATTACTTATATCACCAGTATATTCATCAACATGAAATAATTTAGAATAATCATCATGATTAAATAATTTAACAAAACGTAAATTATTTAAACTACCATTGACATAATTAAGTAAATTTCCAATATAGGTATTAATTTTTAATTCTTCATCAATATGAAATCGTATAATTCGTGTATCATTCAATGTTATACAACATATAATTAATATAAATTGTAATTGTTGATGAATTATTGACACTAATTCCATTCAAAGAACCAAATATTTAACATAACGTATATTACCATACAATATAAACTATACAAATCATATTAGATAAGATATTCTATATTATTAAAATTCATGATTCAATGGATATGAAAGAATTTAATAGTGAAAAAAAACACAACTGATAACCAACTTTTATTGAAAACTATTTTGTTTCGTTTGTTTGTTTTTTTACTTCATCAATGATGTGTTCGTGAAGAATTCCAGATGATGATTGTCATTTATTTAGTTAGAATGAATTTGATTGGTTCATTTATTTTCATCCAATCATTTCCCTTTAAATTTTTTCTGTTGTTGCTTATTCACTTAGAAACAGTCAGTATAACCATAATTTCTTTTATTATGTTATTTAAAATAATAAAAAGGATTAAATTCTATTTATTAAGAAAGAGATAAATTTGAAATGTTTTTTTTTTTATTTCGGGTTAATTGCTTTGAATTCTCTATAGTTTACTATGAATTAATATTAGAATTTTATTAAAATAAGCTTTGAAAATATGAATTAATTATGTAGATCATTAAACTGAGGTAGCAACCAAACAAAAGGGCTCTAATTTTCGATTGATGTTAGCTTTTAAAAAATAATAATGATAATAATAATAATAATGTCCACTCAAATGACTTGTTTTATTGTATTGATGAAAGTATGTAAACATAACTTATTTGTCTACTATTGAAACTTATCTTCGAAATTGAATTTCAGATCAAGGTGTTCAATAAAATTAAGGATTATGTATGAATGAATGAGTTATTCAGTTATTCAGTTGTTGAAATGAAATATAAGAATACGTGAATGGAAAAAATAATACAGAATCTGGTCTGTGTCGAGAGGCTGAATGATGATACCCCTAAGTTGAAAGAAGAAAGTTATAAATAGACTAATATTCTGGGTCACTTTTAGATAATTAGGTATCGAGTAATTCATACTTTTTAAAATAACAACGTTGTTTGAGACGTATAAAAAATGGCAGAGAAAACAATCATATATTTGTAATCACGATTAGTATAATAACGAGTTTTTCCCACAAAGTTAAACACTATTAAGAAACTACTACTTCACATATAAAGATTTGTTGCTAAGGGTTCTAGCTAATTAATAATCCTGTATTCTACTGCTGACAACTGTCCAACACTTGCTAAAATTTGTCATTCAATAATGCAGTTCAAATACTCTGCTCATGATGCACAATTTATACAAGATACTGGTCATCTACAGACATTAAATTCAACAACAGACGTCTAATTGTACAAAAACTTAAACGAAAACATCTAGATTTATAAGAGATATGTGGATATCTTAGTTGTCTGTGAACCAAAGGAGGATATTAACGGTTTATTGAACAAACTTAACTCTCTCCAAAACCACATTAGTCTCTTATACGAAGAGGGGAATAACGACCAGTTTCCCTTTCTATATATACTTTTAAGTAGACGAGAAAATGGCTCAATCAAATGATCCATTTTTAGGGGACTCACGTGGACAAGCCAACACTTTATTTAATATAGTTATTGATCTGTGCAATACAAATTTGGTTTGATAAGTTGCCTACTTAACAGGCTTGATCGTATTTGCACAAATGACGCTTTTGGTAATGTTAGGTTTTCGAACAAACATTAATAGAAAATGTCTAGTCCCTAAATTCATAAACAGATGCACAGTTCATGGTAAATTGAGATCTACTATAGCCTTGGTAGAAAAAAAAGCCTGTCTACATCATCTTACCATTAAGAGGTGATTCAAACAGCCTTTTATTGAAACAAAGGCTTAAAGCAGTCATTAATTAGACGTATTACACAGTAAAGGTTATTATCGAGGAAAGAATAAGTTTCATGCTTCATCGAAAACCTAGATGTCATGAAAACGATTGGGCCACATACTACTGTGTTTATCAATTTCAAAGTGTTTGGCCACACAACGTGATCTCAAAATTAGGATGTGCGAACATGTAATTAAATGGTTGCAGAAACATAAACTCAGACGACCCAAACGAGTAGAGTATAAGTATCCATCATCATCTATTGTCAAACACGTAGTTCAAACAGATCATAAGATGGATCTAAACCCGGCTTTTGTGGTGATGTACAAAAGCGTAAAAGCGCGTATTCTAAGGTTTATTGAAGCCTTGGTTATATGAAAATTCAAACCTTCCTTGTGCATTCAAAAACGGTTTGTTTTAACCTTAAGCCTACACTGATAATATTAGCTTATTATCCAGAGTAATGTGGTTTCAAATTGTTTTCACATTATTTCCTTATTATCCCTGTCTCCTCTTACCATCCATTTCTAGTCTAGTTGACCTATTATTTTTATGTATGAATGTTCTTAACAAGTGTCTGTGTGATCAGATTGTTCGAAATGTATTGCACTAATATATCAAATAGTTTCGATAATCATCCTCTTCATATTACACTATCGAAATTTCACAAATAAAATAAAAACTTATACTCGTAAACTAAGTGATCTCATTAGCTTAGCGAATAAGGCGTAGGATGTTTGGAGAGGTGAGCAGATGGATGAGTGGAGCACACATAGTTTATTTTATTCAATATTGACTGTATAACACAAATCGTTTAATTGATTTGAGTCCAATAGACGTCGTCTAAAAAGATTGTAAATTTCACTCTGTACGAATTATTGGAATGTTTTAAACATATACCTTATATAGGTTGTTTTTCATTTAGTTAGCACACAAATTTTTTCCTTAATTTGGTCAAACACGAAATGTCCATTATGTTAATTTCAATAGTGTTTTCAACTTTTCTACCTAAATTTATGAAAAGCTAAGTGGCAAAATTTTAAATAATTGGAGTGTAATTGTTTTTCCTTAAACATTACTTTGGAAACTCTATGTTAGAGACATGAATGTTACCATTTGACAAATAACAATCAAATTAGCCCTTCAGTCATATAGTTGAGTCATCTCAACAATTCATGTCTAAATATCTTCAAGTCTGTTGAATTTTTCATTCAAGTAGCTCACAGTAGGTAATGTTGTCTATTTATGACACGTTTACAAACATTAACAAAAATTGGTTTTAAACCATAATCTGTCTAATAATACGTATTAGTCTTCTAGGTCATTATTTGACGTTTACACACTTATAATGTACTAAAACATGTCTTTTGTTGGAATAAACTAAATCAGGACAAGGTCACTGAACGAATGAGGTTAATGTTGTTAATCGTGATGCCAATATTTAGCCTTTTCATAAGACATTACGATATAAATAGTCATTAGTTGAGTAAGATTTGATGAAATTTTACGGGTTATTGGGTGACTTTAGTCTGTGAATTGTGGAAGAATCAATCAGTCTGAAAATATATCAGTGTACAGATGATGAAACGATTTCAATGAGAGGAATACTGATAAACACGAAGCTGTAGGCAGTTATTACATCCTATCTTTTTAAAAAAATAGTTATATACGTTTATAGAGAGAAATAGTGATGAATATTACCCCGTAAAGTAGGATTTTCTCAAATGATTATGTTGCGACAGAACGGATTAATTTCAAGTATGTTTCACCTTGTATTCTGCTTACTGTTAATTATATGGATTATGTTAACCTTCCCTCTTACATTCCTTGATTTCAACACCAAAGATTTTTATTATATTTTAAGTGATCATTACGAGTAATAATTACGGTTGCCTTCATGTTCCAATCACTTCCGTTTAAATATCAACCTGCCCTGGAAGTTAGAAGTTCTTTATTTAGAAGAGTTATAACTCCTCATGGTGAAAACCGAATTCCTTCGGAAGTCATATGGCTGATGCCCTAGAGCGACCATTAATTTAGTACATGGAATGCTCGTACAATGTGAAACCGGGAGATTTTTCCAAATGACTACGGAATTGCTTATTATTATTGGTTGTAGATGATTGTTGAATTGTGTCGGCTTGTTGTTGGTTTTTGGTGTGGGAATATATTTACATACTAATCAGGCTAATCACGTGTCGTTGATCTGAGTCCTGTAGAATAGACACTGGGAAGGAATCGAGTGTAGATATTCATCTAAGGTAAATTAACGTCCATTCGTATATAAAAATAAAACCGACCATTATAACATGAATACAGTTCACTTTAAAATTTAGTAACGATGCAGTAATAGATAATGTTTATCTCTGAAAGTAAATTACTATCCATAAGTCAACTGAAACGGTAATATATATGTACATCAATATCCTGTTGATGAAATTTGATTACTCAGCTTTAATAACAAACAAGTCAATACAACATATTATAAACCATTATAAATTTCAAATTTGTTATTTAGACATTTAATGTGAGGAACCTATCAGAGCTTGATCATAGAAAATCCTATAAGAAGGTGAAATTGATTCAATTTTACCTGAATTAAATTTATTAAATAATAAATAAATAAAATTTTCTGGTGACATTAAATTTGACAGAAATCATTAGGGAAAATTTAATGGATGATGGCTTGATTTCATGGATTGGTTGAAGTTAGACATTACCACCGTTGAATGCCGACCGGCTCAGTGGTCTAGAGGTTAAGCGTTCCTGCGCGAGACCGACAAATCCTGGGTTAGAATCCTGTGTGACTGAACCATGGATGCACACTGATGAGAAGATTCATACTAAGATGAAACGGCTATCCAGTGCTTACAGGATTTCCATGGTGATCTAGCTTCAATTGATTCATGAATTCATCTACTAATTTATTATAATATCATCACGATTTATTTCATACATTTTAACATTTAACAAATGTTTACTAAACATTTTATCATTGCATTTTTACTTTGTACAACTACTGAAAGAGATCAGCCATACTGGTGCTTTATATCTGTACATAGATGCTAATTAGATGTTGTGTACAAAGAATTCTTAAAGGCTAACCTTAATCACTTACTTACGCATATTACTCCCAATGGAGCAAAGGCCGCTGACCTGCATTCTCCAGCACACTCTATCCTGATCCTTCCTTTCTAGTTCTATGAAATCGTTATTCATTCTTCT